CAAATAAAATTATATATATTGGGCTCGGACTTGTCCGGGCTTTTGTATCTAGTTAACTATATAAAACCCAAAATAAAACAACAAAAAAATTGCATTATAAAGAAGAGGTTTTCAAAAAAGAACATTTTGAATTCTTTCTAAATTTTTTTTTTTTTTCTCATTGATAATTCTAAACAAAAAAGAACTTTGAGATTAGTAAATTTAAATTTTATACTACTATTTTTATTGAATGACTAGCAAGACGGTAGTAAATATAGCTCTAAGAAGAAGATTACTTGTATCGCTGTCCTCTAAATTATGTATCATGTTCCTTATTTAGAAAAATTATTGTTGAAGAAATTATGAGAATCTTTTTCAAGTGTGACTAGATAAAAAAATATGACTAGTTATTGACTTAAAGAATTTTTTTTTATGTAGAGGCTTATATTTATATAATTAATTTTGTTTGTTAAAAAATATTTATAAGGGTAACTCTTAAAGCCACTATGCACACATCTCTCTCATTCATAAATTCTTACATAATATTTTAGGGAACAATAATAATTAACATAATATTTTAAAATTTTCATTGTAATAGTCACAATTCAAATTAAGATTAATATATATATATATATATATGTCATACATGTTGAATAATTTAGATATATTTAAAGTTAAAATAGCTTTACATAATTTTTTAAAACCCTCATATTATTTAACTGTTCTCAATTTTTCACCACTACGTAAAATATTAACTATTTTAGATATTCAAATACATTTCGAAGTGAAAATGACTTGAACCTTTAGTTGAACTAATGTTGTTAGAACTTGGTGATGTCATTGATTATCATTTTTCTTTATTAAAATTATGTCAATTTCTTTTTTACTTCTATCTGTCATGAATGTGACAAATAAATTTTGAGTGGTGAATTGAGTTACGAGATGATGAAAAGAAGATGATAGTTAACACTATTTTGAAAAAGAAAACACAACCATTCTTTAAAAATAATAATAAAAAAAAGTAGGAAAAATAAGTAAAACATATATAAGAGAAAATGATCAAAATAGTCATTCATGTATGAGGGTTGCTTTATGTTGATCTTAATATATTCCACATGATTCATATGGTCCTTAATGTATTATAAAAGAGATAATTTTGGTCTTTAGCTCTAAAAATTAACTGAAAACATAAAAAATGCTAAACTTAACAATGGGTCCCACAATTGGGACCCATCTTTCTTGCGCAGTTCTTCTCCTTCATCTTTTTTTTTTTCGAAAAAGGGCCTAAAATACCCTTGAATTATTGGATTTGGTACAAAAATACCCTTCGTTGACCTTTCGGCTCTAAAATACCCTTGACGTCAATGTATTGGCCCTGAAATGTCCTTATTTTTGACGGCCAAATTTTTAAATATTAATAAATGTATCATATATTACGTGGCACGATTTTATTAGTGTGTTTTAAAATTAACCTAACTAATTAAATCTCAATCCAAGATCCACCTAAAGAATCCATACCCACCCGCCCTAAATACCCATTAAACTAAGTGCCCAAAAACCTTGATTTCATCTTGTTCATTATGCTAAATTTGATTTGGTCTTCAAATTATTATCACCTTCTTCGTGAATCCAACTACAAATTCGTTCCAAGCTATTCTAATTCATCTTCAAAGCCCTCCAAAATTAAAATACAACTTCACAATGATGGCAAGACAATAATCTGAATCACCGACTTCAAAATAAGTAACAAATTATACATCAAAAATTTGTAATCGCCATTAGAGCTCTATCTGAGCTTCAATAGTGTTCAATATATTTAAACCGGGTTTTTTTCTTCTCAATATTCAGCTGACTTACGACGAGTTTAAGTTTCAAATACAATACCAATTAGATTCAAGCTTAAAATAGTATACTTACCAAAATCAAATTTATCTATTGATATTTTTTTGGAGTTCGAAGGATTCCGAATCAGGTTGAAAATTTATTTAAAGTTGAAGGTTCTTGAATCTTTAAATATAATTAATTGTGAAGTAATATGGTTTATGATTTGGTTGTTGATTTGGTGAATAAGATGGAGGAAAATGTCGAACGAAATCAACGGAACTCCATTTTTGAAGTCGAAGAATTTCACATCTCAATTTCAAAATTTGAGAATTTAAGTTTGTAGGTTACCATTGTCAAAATCGTTTGAAGAATCATTTATTGTACTTAAATTTAGGTTTACTTACTAATTTGGGTATGTATCAAGGAAAAGTAAATTCACTATGGGAGGATTTTACTCTAAAAAGCTTGAAGAACACCCTCTGTGAGAATTAAGTTTTTTTTTTCTTAGTTTAATGGGGTTCTTTTTAGGTGGGGCAGGTATGGGTTTATTTGGTGGATCCAAATTTGGGTCGAAATTTGATTAGTTTAGGTGAACTGTAAACACACCAATAAAATCGTGCCACGTAATAAATGATACATTTAATAATATTTTAAAATGTGGCCGTCAAAAGTAAGGGCATTTTAGGGCAAAAGAAAGAAGTTGAGGAGAAGGGTCTATGGTGGTGATGGTGAAAGAATACAAATCTCTTAAATCTAACAGTTTTTTTTTTTTCTTTTTCTTTTGGTTAGTTTTAGGTTAAAGGACTAAAATGATCCTCTTTTTATATACATTAAGGACCATATGAATCATATGAAATATATTAAGGATCTCATACATGAATGACTATTTTGATCATTTTATATATCTCCTTTTTAAAATTGGTTACCGATCTTATGAATGACCGGTTTGGATTGGTTTAAAAAAAATAGTTTTTTAGTCAAAAATAAAAAGTTAAACTGAAATGACTTTTAAGTCAAAAAATAAAAAGTAGGGGAGACCTACTTTTGATTTTTGACTTATTTTAAGTCATTTTAAACTTATTTTAAGTCATTCTTTGTCAAACACTTCTCAACTTATTTTAAATCATTTTTTTACTTATTTTAAGTTATTTTTTATATTTGTCAAAAACTTACTTAAAAGTAGGTTTGACCAACTTTTAAGCCAATCGAAACACCCTCTAACATTTTACTTTAGACAAATCTAAAGTGGTTATAAGAGTCTCACAAATGCATTTAAAACTACTTATCAAACAACATTATTACCAATATTATCATATTTTACACTATATTAAGACAATTTTATAAACAAACACTTAATTTTTATTTTATTACATTAAATTATTTTTATAATAAAAAATTACTTATTTTTGCCTAAATGTTATAAATCGTTAAATAATTATAAACCAAAGAATCATATAATAAAAAACAGAGCTAGTGTAGAGTTTGTGAATTTGATTAAATTCAATAGCTATTATGTAAATATTATATTTTCCTCTGAAAAACTAATTTTATATATGAATAAATTATTAAATATAGAGTTTATCAACTGAAAAAAATATCTAAAATTTTAAATTCATAAATTTCAAATTATGACTTCGCTTCGACAACTACGATCCAATTAATATTACCACCCTATGAAGGAAATGCTTATGTAAGTGTGGTCCGAGGCGTAACATGCTTAAAGCACAACCATCGTCACTTTTTACCAACTTTTGTGCCCACTAATTAATAATTGAGATCTTGTTATACATTTTACTCACTTTTTTAGTATCATATCGTCACTCATATTTACTCACTTTAAATATGCATCGAATAATTTTGATTCTTTAAATTTATTAAAGTTAATATTTATTATATATTAAAATTAAAATAAATTATGAAAAAGGGGATTAGTGGGAGGTATAATATTCTTACCTTTAATTTATTATAAATTTTTGAGGTGTAATCTATTAGTATTTATAATTTCTGAGATTATTTTGAATCTATCTTCAAATATTAAGGATTATTTTTGTCTTTAGAGAGAAATATTGAAAAGACTCCTAAAGTTGACGCAAATTATTTGATTCGTTCACATATTATTGACGATTTTAAAAATAAGTATCTACTTGACTAACTAAACTTAAATATCAGATCAGCCACATACATAGTAAGTGAGTCTCAAACTATAGAAGGAGCATGTAATTCTTAATAAAAAAATTGAGAGAAGTGCTAAAAACACATTTAAATTTGGCAAAAATTTAAGGATGTATTTCACTCATGTTACAAAATTGGGGTGGATTTAAGTCCAGTTAGTAAAGTAAAGAAGTGTTTTTAATTTGTTAATAGTTCAGAGATGAGCTAATAATTCACGTTAAATGTGGACAAAAAAAATATAAAAGCGAAGGATGGTACTCTCTATGTCCCATTTTATATGACTTACTTTCTTTTTTTATCTGTCTAAAAAAGAATAACATATTTCTACATTAAGTAATAATTTAATATTATCACTTTTTTTTACCACTAATTTCAAAAGTCTTTCTCTCTTAAATTCTGTGTCGAGTCAAACTAACTCATACTCCCTCTATCCCTAATTATTTGTCCACTTTTGAATTAATACACTTATTAAGAAAACAATTATTGACATAGTAAGTTTATTATTTTACCCCTATTAATTACTTCCTCCGTCTCACTTTATATGTCACATTTTTACTTTGTACTTGCATTAATAAATGATGTAACTTTACCCTTCTATCCTTATTTAATGTTTTATTAAATCAACTTTATTAATAAATGACAAGATTAATTAACTATTCTATCAAGGGTTATAATAGGCAAAATATGATAATTTATGCATAAATTTTATAAAATAACAAGTATTGTGGTCCAGCTATTTATAGAAAGGGATGACATATAAAATGGGACGGAGGGAGTATGAAGTGGAATTAAAAACTTAAATTTTTTAAGAAGTTCGACTTCTTCAAACTAATTAATTGAAGGTATAATAGGTAAAAAGAATTTGTCCTGATTTGTTAAAATGGACAAGTAAATAGAACAATTTTTTTTAAAAAAATAGACAAGCAATTAGGAATGAAATATAAAATAGGACGGAAGGAATACTAAAATAGGAAAAGAAAGTGATAAAATAGGAGAGACACTAAAGTACGAGTCTTCGATATGCGCGAACTTTCTATATATAGTAACTTGCCACCCAAATTCACATTCCCCAAAAAAATTCTCATTTTTTGCTTTCTCCGCCACCATCTACCCTCTTGGATCTCACATAGAATCTTGAAATCATACCCATTTCACCATCTTTAATTTCTGCAAAAATTGCTGTCAAAAATTGAATCTTGTTAAAGGTAGCAGATTTTTGGGTTCTTCATACCTTACTGTACCAACAATCAAAGATTCACAGTAATTTTTTTTTAGAAGGAATAAGTTATGGTATCATCATCTGAGGCTGTCAGAGAAAGAGTTGGAAGAAAAGGGGGTGGTGGTAATGGGAGTGAAGGAGTGAGGAAATTGCTGTTAGGGTTAGGGTTCTTGGTGCAGGGATTCAGGTGTTTCCCTTGGATGGCAGTTAATTTCTTTCTAAAAGATGGCCTTAAGGTTGACCCATCTACCTTACAAATCCTACAGTGTTCTGCCAATTTGCCAATGGTGGCTAAGCCCTTCTATGGAATTCTGTCTGATTCTTTTTACATTTTTGGACAGCATCGTGTTCCTTACATTGCCTTTGGAGGTGCATACACTTTCTCTCTTATATTGCTTGTTTTATTGCTAGTGAAAATGACTTGCTTGTTCCATGTACCGATTGTTTTTGTAAACAGGATGGGGTTAAGGACATGCACTGAATGCATAATTAGAAAACTAAAAAAAGGATCTTTTTAGTGATTAATAGCCATACTTTCATGTTCTATTTGGATTCTTTGTTTTTTTGGTGTCCTTAAGAAATATGAATTTCTGCCAAGTTATCTGTTCTGGAGGTTGTATTTACTTTCTATAGATTCTTGTATGATTCTCCAGAAATTAGATGTTTTAGTTCACATGTGGAATCAGCCACTGACCCTCATGTTAGTGTAAGATGCCTGAACTCTAGGTAAACGTGGGATGTTTCGTGCACCAGATTGTCCTTTTTACTGAATATGAAATTGAAAATTCATTGTTCTAACTTCAACATTAGGGAACTAATAATATGTTTGATCAATGAGTAAGTTATCAAGAATTGTATGCAGTATTCTTATAGTAAGAGGAGAAGGAAAAGAATAGGAGAGTTTCTTAATTTGTTTTCTCCATTGTGTAATGGAGGTTGACTGGAAGATAAGGTTTCCTGAAATAAGTCATTTTGCATTTTATTGTGGTTCACTGTAGGCATACCAATTAATATGCATTTGGGCTCACTTGATTATACTTTGGTGCAGCATTTTTGCAGGCAGTGTCATGGATTGCTATATTCCTCTCCCCTTCAAATATTTCATTTTTTACGATCACTCTGTATCTCTTGCTTGGAAACTTGGGTGCTTCTGTAGTTGAGGTTGCCAATGATGCCATGGTTGCAGAGTTAGGAAAACCACCTAGTTCATCATCCAAAAATAGTCCAAATTCTTCATCAGGCCAGGTCCAGTCATTTGTTTGGATTGCCGCTTCTGTCGGTGGAGTTCTTGGTAACCTTGCAGGCGGTATTGCCATTGATCGTTTTTCCTCTCAAGTGATGTTCCTTATGTTTGGCATTCTTTTAAGTATTCAATTTCTGGTTACAATTTTTATTCATGAGAGCTCCTTGGACCTTCCCAAGAGTCCATCAGATCGAGGAATCAAAACGCAACTTTCAGAGCTTTTAGTTGCATTGCGGAAACCGGAGATCTATTATTCGATTCTTTGGTTTGCAGCTTCTTATGCAATGATTCCAGCACTAACAGGGACAATGTTCTATTACCAGACAGAACATTTAGGTATTGAATCGTCAGTGTTGGGTATATCTAAAGTATTTGGGCAGGCGGCAATGCTGTTGTGGGGTATAATCTACAATAAGAATCTCAAATCAATGTCTCCTAGGAAGCTAATCTCAGCAATTCAGGCTACTATGGCTGTTTTCATGTTTTCGGATTTCTTATTCGTGAAAGGGGTATACAGGATGTTTGGTATTCCTGACTCATTGTATGTGGTACTCTTCTCCGGATTACTGGAGGTTCTCTACTTCTTTAAGATCTTACCCTTCAATGTTTTAATGGCACAGCTCTGCCCACCGGGATGTGAAGGATCTGTCATGGCATTTCTCATGTCTGCCTTAGCTATGGCTGTTATTATAAGTGGTTATCTTGGTGTCGTTCTGTCATCGTTTGTCCAGGTGACAGCGAATGACTTCTCTGGCTTAGGACATGCCCTGTTAATACAGGCAGCATGTACACTCTTACCAATTTATTGTTCATCATGCATACCTGATGGTGTCAAGGCAAAAACCAAACCAAAAGAAGGTTGATCAGCTGTAGCAGTGAGTGATAGTCAATTCAACTCAGCAGTAAGTAGTTCAAACTTACCTTCCCCTCGGCCTTCTCCAACTTATTACTGCTATAGGTACCGTTTCAGAAGGATCTCATTCGGAACTTAAGAAGGAAATTCACTTTATAATACATATAGAATTACAAACGTGAATACCTTATAGTTTAGGTTTTTGGCTACTACTATTCAAAATTTAGCATTGCGTGTCTTGTATTATGATGCGCTATTTAATAATTTAATTGGATTATGTATTGTTAATGTTGTCTTCAGTTCAAAATAGTACTCTTAAAAATTGGGATTGATTTAGACAACTCCTCATCAGTTTGCAGTTTCGTGTTATCAGACTGTAGGTTGACGTTATTTTTCATAGTACTTGCTGCCGATAGTTTAAGCTTTTCTTTCTCTCAAGTCTCAACTCTGATTTGGTTATTACTTTTAATTTATCATTTGCATGACTTGCTAGCATAATGATTATTTCTAATGAGTTTTGATGCTGTCAATAGCTTCTCCACCGTGTCTTTGAAGTTTGAGCCAAAGAAAAGAGATAATATCTCAAATGGTCTCTCAACTTTGCTTAGAACTTTATTTTATAACTCAAAAATCACTTAACTATTGATATTTCACTTAAAAAGTCACTCAACTATTGATGTTTCACTTAGAAAGTCACCCTACAAATTTAAATCATTTATTTGTTAAATTTGGTTGAAATCTAAATTTTATTTTAAATTATTTTAAAAAAACTAATAAGAATATTTATTTTAATTATCTATTGACCTTCTTCAATCATTTAATTACATTTTTTTTTAAAACGTACTGTAGCATTTTTTAACAGTATGTTTTAGTAAGACAATTGCTAGAAAAGCAAAATTTTTTTTCTCTCAACTGCTACTGTATGTTTAAAATAGCAATCTTTTATTAATTAGTAGCAATGCTACTATATGTTTTAATTTTAATTTGTCAATTGCAATTGTACGTCTAAAATAGAAATCTTTTATTAAACTACAAGGAGTAATCAAAAAGATGCAGTAGCGATCTTTTATTTTATTTTTTTAAAATAGTTTTAAAAAATTACATTTCAACAAAAATTTAATAAAATAATTAAAATGAGCATCTTTTTATTTTTTAAAAATTAATTTAAAATGAAACTGCATTTCAAACAAAATTTAATGAAGAAATTATTTAAATTAGTTGAATGACTTTTTAAGTAAGATATCAATAGTTGAGTGACTTTTGAGTTATAAAATAAAGTTGAGTGACTTTCTAAGGGAACAAGTCAAAGTTGAGTGACTTTCGAAGTAAAGTATGCAAAATTGAGTGACCATGTGAGATATTATCTCCAAAGAAAAATGTAAATAATTGTTAAAAATGGCGGGTGACTAGCAATTTAAATGTGCAAAAACTGATCCAGATACCAAAGGTGCTTTGATATTCAGAGTGCTTGAGATTTAGATGGTAGTTCTGTAGTAAGTATGAAAAGGAAGTATACATGTTCTCTTAACAGAAATAAACAATCAACATCACATCAAGTGGAAACACATACAAATGTGGAATATACCTATAGATTACAGCATTTGTTTGTAATTATCTACTACTTCAGCAAAACAATCTTCTCTTTGCTCTTTGCTCTTTGCTCTTTGCTCTTTGCTCTTTGCTCTTTGCATGTCACGCTTCCTAAAATATAAGGTACACAAAAATGTCCCCTACATCTTTCTGTCTCTTCACATACATATTTGGGGGCTTTGATTTCGGGGTGGTCAATAATGTGTCGGGGTCTTTATCTGTACGTTCTCCTCATAAAAATAAGTCGGAGATGCAAGATTCTCACATTATATGTACAGTAAAATTGTATTATAGTCGCTGCAAATGCTCCAAATTACTGTTTGATCAACATTGCGTCTAGTCGCCTTTTCCTTGCAGCATGTTTTAGTTTCTCAAGTGCAACTAATCCCACCTGCCTGACCCTCTCTCTGGACAAGCCTATCCTGTTAAACATAGAGAAGTAGCATTTAGAACAACATTTTGACGTGTATGCACTCTGTGTCAAAAAACAAAACGTAAATTTCCATTATAGTTAAGGAACTTTAGCATGACGAATTTCAGTACAAGTGTGAAGTGTGAGTAGATGCTTGTGTAAACTTCCATGTTTTAATATGTGCCCATTCTGAAGCTTGATCAATCTGTGCAGTTTCTTTACATTCCGATGATCACTTAATTGTTTCTCATTATTACATGGCGATTGTGGCTACCTGAATACCTGATGTGCTTCACGTGTAATACTATTTCATTTTGGTTTCTAAGAGATAGACAGTTCTAGACTTTTAAAATATCCAGAATGAACCCTAGGTAAACATGTGAGATATAATGTGACTACATAAATGCTTCTATCAAGATCAATCGTGTATATTGGATGAGACAAGTAATATCTGATTGCAAGTTAACCACCACAGATATTTGAGTCTTACCTTTTACTAATATCCTCCCACGTGAGACATTCACTGTCCAGACCATAGTACAGTCGGATAATCTCTCTCTCCCGTTCCCTAAGAGATGATGAAATGAGGTTGTTTACTTCATCCTGTAAAACTCAAAACATCAGAAAAGACATTTCTTCGCCAGCATTATAATCTCGTGAATCATCATACACTGTTAAAACAGTTGGCAGAAGCATATAATGATACTTTTTCCTCTGAAGCAAATCTGATGAAAGTTAAAACATTTTAGTTACTAGTGAGTTTCTCATTACATACTGTCCTTCTAACTGACAGAATAGTCCTTCCTCCCGAAGGAAATGGCGAAAGAAGTTGAGCAAAACCAAAAGCATGACACATACGACATCTCAGAATCTAGAAGAGACAATACATGTGGAACCCAATATCTAGGATCGGCATGGGAAAGTCACAATTAATTGCAATCAAATAAAGGTTTGAAGAATGTGTGGCAAGAGCCTATTTCCCACAAGTATATGGTTTGGAACTTACACATCATTATGAGTTTATGTACAAATATCAGAACTGCATTGCAGTTAAGAAGGATATATTTAAGGGAAACAATGCTTGGCAAAGCATATTAGAATTGAATTCCATTTGGAAATACGAACATCTCTGGAGATGCATATCTATTAGGGTGCAACCACTATATATATTTTTTCCATTGGTTTGGTGCAGGCGGATAAACCAGAAAATAAACATATTCTAGTAGTTTTCTCATGGAGAACTTTTTGTTTTTATGCCCCCAGGTTAGATATTATTAAGTACCATTTATATGTTAACTATTTCACTTGTGAAAGCTATGCTTCACTAAATTACCTTGAGTGCCCATATATCAACACCGTGCCATGGGTTGTTCTCCAGGTGGTTATCAGCAATGAACTGCAGAAAAGAGGAAACGAAAAGATAAATAAAGAAAGAAAAGAGATCATGAAACAATGGCGAGTAATGATGTGTTGACTGATAAAAGGATTACATGAGGCGTCAAGGACCTGGGACTCTTGGATTCAAATCCCTAGTAGTAGGATAGTATCATACAGTTGCAGTTCATCTTTATGTGCGTAAACATAATGGAGAGACTTGTACCAGTTAATTCCTTTTTATTAAGATTGTACATCTCCCCCCAGAAATGAGTAACTTTTGATTCCGTTCTGTCACAAATTTTTGAGAATTGAATCTAAATTTCTACTAACCAATACTGTAAATATCAACTCACATATCAAACAGATCATCAATGTGCACTTTTTGAGATGCAAAGTAGTGCTTGAATTATTTGGTAAAATTCAGAAAAGTTGTCAACCTCAATGTTAAGTACATTATGTGAACATTTGGAGTTCAGACTTCGGACTTACACTATGGAGAGTTGCTCCGGGCAGACCATTTAAAGAGGGAAACACTTCCCTGTCAAGTGAATACACCTTGCTGCTTGCCTAAAAAAAGAAATTTTTAAGAAACATTTTCTGAAACAATGATCAGGACAAGTTTAAGCCACAAAATTATTATACCTCAGTTGCATTCCTGACTTTCTTCTGGGACATATTTAGGGATGCAGCTATATTCTGGTGATCAATTGGAACACAAGCCAGTAAGAAGAAAACAACGTAATATCTCAAAATCAACTTCATAAGTGACATGAGAAGTGTTTAAATATCTTCCAATGTAAAGTTTGACAGAACTTACATTTACAGATGGAGTTATTCCCTTCTCTTCAAGCCTCATCTTTGCATTACGGATTAGACCAAGTCTTTCATGCAGATGTGTTGGCAATCTTAAGGTTCTTGAATTTTCAACCAGGGTTCTGGAGACACCCTGAACATGGGGTGAAAAAAGTTAGGAAAGGTCCTTACACTATTACCAATTTGTGACAAGATAAAAGACCTCTACGACTGGAAGGTGGCTTGATAATTCTTACCAAAACAAAAGAAAGATAAACTTAATTGTTTTGCAGAAACTAAAAATAAGGAAGCATGAGAAATAATTTGTTGGTTGAAATATATTGTCTCACTTTGTCGGTTGAGATTCTGGATAAATAATTGAACGTACCTGGCGAATCCACCAATAAACATAAGTTGAGATTTTGTATCCTTTAGAGGGATCGAATTTCTCTATCCCACGAAGTAGTCCAATAAGGCCTCCCTGTATGAAATGAAAGAATTTTCCTTCAGAGGTGCAAATTTTTATTTTGAACTATATTCATCAATGTACAAGTGCAAGAAACATGTACATCTAACTTTTGAATGCACAACATTTGAGTCACCTGAATGAGATCAGCCATTTCAGCACCCATGTTATCATATCTTTGAGCGATTGACATGACAAGACGAACATTGCTCATTGAAAGCCTTTCTCTTGCCAAGGAACACTCGATCAATGTAGATTGTAAATCAATACGGGACATTTTCAAGGAAAGAGCAAGTTGATCATCAGAAGGTTCGCATCCCAGTCTTTCCTTCAGCCTATAGTTTTCCATGGTTTGATACAAACAGAGTAAGTCATCTTTAACAGCTTCCAAGAAATAGCATCACAAAGCAAACAAACTTTACAATTATAGCTCGGTATCCTTCCAACTCCTATGTCTTACCTTCCTCCTCATATGCTTTATTGATCAGTGTAAACAATCTAACATCAAATTTTGTGAAAATAATCCTGTTTTCGAAATAAATGAGTTTATAGAAGCACATAAACAGTCAAGACAATCTGAAATTGAATGTTTGGGTACTTGGTTATTATAAAGATTAGTTTGTTGTGTATGTTTTGCTTGGACAAAAAGCTATATAGTGGATGGATGCAGACAATTTTCTTTTAGTTCATTTATGTGCTTATATGTTACTGAATTCTGTTAGTGTTGAAGTGGTGATATCATCAGCTACTAAATCTCAGGTTTACGCTTGAGAGAAGAGGAGAAGTGAAGGTGGATTAGGCTTGTGAAGTTACCTTGATTTTTGCTCTTCCACATGAAGACCAACTTGAATCTTTTTGGATAGTTGAAGCACTTCAGTGTGTGTGAGCAGCTCTTCACTTACTACACCCTTAACATAACCTTTTAAACGATTTTGAAGTAGCTCTGGACCAATTATTGATCTCAGCGGCTTGGTTGCACTGATAGGTGTAGCTGAACTTTTTGGACCAAGAACTCTTTGTCGAGAATCCATTCTCCTCCGCCTAGCAGACGTCCCTGAGCAAGTAATATGCAACTTCTTACAATTCTTTTCATGTTGTGGAGAAGCAGTCAATGTCTCTTCAGCAGAAAGATTCCACTGCTTTTCAAGCATGGACTTCTGCAGCAAGAGGAAAGCCTCCACCGAATCATCATCCTCGTCATCACTTTCAATTTGCAATTGTTCGAACCTTTCAAACCAGGACTGCACATCAGAAGGGTCGGATGCAATGTCTACATGCTCTTTAAGAGCCTTGACAGATTGTAGTTTTCGACTGGATACACAACTGGGGCTATAATCGGATGACTTCTTAGCGGTGATCACATTTTTAACAGAAGGAACCTGATGGCAGGGCAAACTATGATCACTGCTACAAGATAGCTTTTCATTAAGATCAGAATAATAGAAGGAAGAACTCAAGAGTCTTTTTCCTGCACTCAGTCCAATAACTGCTGTTGTGGCCATCATGAGGGCTATCTCTTTCTAAAAATCCAAGACCATCACGCGTCGTCTAACAAGGAAGATTGAATTACAACAATATCAGCTTATGACCAAGTTGCTATGCTGATTAATCCCCTCAATCACTTTCTACAGGTAGTCCCACAAAGAAAAAGTCAGTAAAAAGTAACAGTAGACAGAGTTAGCTCAACAAACAAGGAAAGCAATCAGAAATTTGGACAACAATAAATCCGCTTTTTCTAAACATTAAAAAAAAGTAGTAGTTTTTTGGTCTTGTTTTCTTTTGAAAGCAATGAATTTATGTTAGTTTCAGTGACATACTTTAATAAGAAGAAGAATTAAAAGAAATTTCAACTCGAATAGTTCACTGGTGTGAAATTAAATGAATTAACCGGAGTTGCTAAGTTGCAATCTCATCAATGTTTTCGGGCCAGCTTCGTTTGCTTCACTACCACTCATTGTTTCATTTGCTTCATTTGATTTTGTTATCTTGCTATTTTTGTTATCATTATTTTTTTTCAATCCTACTTTGGTTACCTTTCTTTTGAGCCGTCTGTCTATCAGAAACAACCTATCCACCCCACAAAAGTAAGGATAAGTTTTACGTACATCCTACCCTTTGCAAGCCTCACACTAATTTTATGAGTATCTTCTACATTCCACCAACACACATATCCGGACTTCCAGTGAAATTTAAACCTTAGACCTCATGATTTTCAACGCAATTGGCCACATCTTGGGTGCTATTATATACAATTTTCACATAAGTGTGATCGACCTTTTTTAAGTTCCAATCTATATTCAGCTTAAAACTAGAAAATCAAATACGACCAGATTTTCTTCGGCACGTAATAATTATGTATACAGCTTGCGTTTACACACGACTCACGAGGCGATAATTACGAGGGAATTAACAGATTTGTATACACGGCGAACATTACGAGGGGAACAGATTCTACAGTTCGATTCGAAAAACACGACTATGAAAACTCAATCGAAATAGAAAGAAAAGGAGTAATTAAGATGAAGATGTTAAAAGTGATGAGTGCAGCTTACGTACCTGAATTTGAGCAAACTGACAGAAATGGTGATACAGTGTGGCGTTGCAATGGCGGTGGAAGTTAAGAGTTTGTTGCAACAGAAATGATATCGTTTACTACTATTTCTTCTTTGTATTTTTTTCGATTTTTTTTTTTGTGCTGTTGTTGTTGATAATTAAATTGATGGGAGGAAAATGAAAATAACGCGAGAGGAGATCAATGTATATTTAAGTTTTTGGATATTAGAGATCAATTGTCATTGGTTAGAATAGATATACGGGTCCCACTTCTTGTGGCGTACCTCTACCCTCTTCCTTTCTCTTTTTCAAAACTTTCTTGTCTTATTCCCATCAACAATTCTAGACATACATGCCCATTTATCTCCGCCGCACCACCTTCTATCCGCAACAAGTATCAAATAATTTTATTTTATTAATATTTTTATTTATATTGAAATTAAATCAGAATTTTCATGATTCTCAATTCATTTCATTGAATACTAGATTACATTTTTTAAAATTTTCATGATTCTTAATTTATTTTACTAATCACTAGATCATACCGAACATGATATGATAATAAGTGTTCGTCCTGTGGCCTTCTAGTTATCAACCAAAAAAAAAAACTAGATTGAGGATGAGTATTTCATAAATTGAGGTCCCATCAGTCATAAGCCACGTTTTCTTTATTGTTATCATCAAGATGGGAGCTTCGTATTTATTCCAGTTATAAGTCGAGGTATATTCCAAACCTGTCCAATTATAAAAGATTTTTATTATGGGCTAAAAATGTTAATATTTGAAAAGAAAAAAAATAGTATTAGAAGATTAATTTTTTAAAAGAAAAACAATTAAAATTGTGTTTGGACATGTATTAAATCTGAAAAAAGTGGAGGTTGTTTTCAATACACCTCGGCTATCCTTAATTATACTCCGATGCTATCAATAAATTAATATTAACATAGTCAGTTTACCTTGGTATGATGGTGTCTTTTTTATGTCTTGAAATATGCATTCCATTTATATCAAGATAATTCACAATTACTCACACCAAAACCTGCAACAAACATCTATTGAGATGCGCAGGATAGATTATTGAAATAGAAAACAAAAATAGAAACTTCTTCTAGTAGTATTTTATTTTGATTTTACAACACGACGATATATTCAGTGTAATCTCACACCTAATATAATATCACAAGTGAGAGCCTTGGGAGGGTGATACGTATGTAAACCTTTCCTCTACCTTGAGAGTTGATTTCATTTTATGTGAATCAAAAGGAATAGATCATTGAAAAGGAATAACAAACACTAATATATCTACTACAACCATCATATTTAGCTTCAGAACTGAAGATTGAATTATATTTCTGTGAATAATACTTAGGTGTATATCAATGGTAAATGTGACACTCAATTAAGAGTTGGATTTGAAAAAATGAAATCATGAGCAAAAGAGAAAACGTTTCAATTCTATAGGATGCAACTAAATACAAAAGGAGAAAAAAAACCAAAGCCAGAGAGAGAAGAGACTACTGAATCTTTACCCCATGATGCACCATTCCTTGCAGCAGAAAGTGGATTATCCGCGTTATAGGTAGAATAAGATTTGAAGCATGAAGTCGATCTTGAAGCATAAATTTCATCAATAAAATTATTTTAAGCTATAATAGATACTAGATGTGAGTGCCTAGCAATCAGAGCCTCCACCGTCTTAGGGAAAACAAACAAAAGTTAAATTAAGGCATGATGAGATATAGACCAGATGTGTTTTGCCGCATAAAATAAGACTCTCAAGGAAAAATTGTATATAAAAACATAAAAGGTGGTACGATAATTCTTACCAAAACAAAAGAAGATAAACTTAATTGTTTTGGAGAAACTAGAAATAACGAAGCATGAGAAATAATTTGTTGGTTGAAATATTTTGTCTCACTTTGTCGGTTGAGATTCTTGATAAACAATTGAACGTACCTGGAGAATCCACCAATAAACATAAGTTGGGATTTTGTATCCTTTCAGAGGGATCGAATTTCTCTATCCCATGAAGTAGTCCAATAAGGCCTCCCTGTATGAAAATGAAAGAATTTTCTTTCAGAGGTGCAAAAATTTATGTTGAACTATATTCATCAATGTACAAGTGAAAGAAATTTGCATATCTAATTTTTGAATGCACAACATTTGAGTCACCCGAACGAGATCAGTCATTTCATCACCCATGTTATCATATCTTTGAGCGATTGACATGACAAGACGAACACTGCTCATTGAAAACCTTTCTCTTGCCAAGGAACACTCGATCAATGTAGAAAGAGCAAGTTGATAATCAGAAGTTTCACATTCCAGTCTTTCCTTCAGCCTAAAGTTTTCCATGGTTTCATAGAAACAGAGTGAGACATCTTTAACAGCTTCAAGAAATAGCATCACAAGGAAACAAATTTTACAACCATAGCTCGGTATCCTTCCAACTCCCTATGTCTTACCTTCCTCCTCACATGCTTGGACAAAAAGCTATATAGTAGATGGATGCAGACAGTTTTCTTTTAGTTCATTTATGTTCTTGTGTGTTACTAAATTCTGTTAGTGTTGAAGTGGTGATATGATCAGCTACTAAATATCTGGTTTACACTTGAGAGAAGTGGAGAGGTGAAGGTGGATTAGGCTTGTGAAGTTAGTTACCTTGATTTTTGCTCTTCCACATGAAGACCAACTTGAATCCTTTTGACAGTTGAAGCACTTCACTGTGTGTGAGCAGCTCTTCACTTACTACACCCTTAACTCCGATTTTGAAGTAGCTCTGGACCAAGTATTGATCTCAGCGGCGTGGTTGCACTGATAGGTGTAGCTGAACTTTTCCGACCAAGAACTCTTTGTCGAGAATGCATTCTTCTCCGCCTAGCAGATGTCCTGAGCAATTAATATGCATCTTCTTACAGTTCTTTTCATGTTGTGGAGAAGCAGTCAATGTCTCTTCAGAAGAAAGATTCCACTGCTTTTCAAGCATGGACTTCTGCATCAAGAGGGGAACCTCCACCGAATCATCATCCTCATCATCGCTTTCATTTTGCAACTGTCGAATCTTTAAAACCAGGACTGCACATCAGAAGGGTCGGATGCAATGTCCATGTGCTCTTTAACAGCCTGGGATGAATGTAGTTTTCGACTGGATACACAATTGGGACGGCAATTGGATGACTTCTTCGTGGTGATCACATTTTTAACAGAAGGAACCTGATGGCAGGGCAAACTACTATCACTGCTACAAGATAGCTTTTCATCAAGATCAGAATAATAGAAGGAAGAACATAAAGAGTCCTTTTCCTGCACTCAGTCCAATAACTCCTGCTGTAGCCATCATGAGGGATTTCTAACAATCCAAGACCATCACAAGTCGTCTAACAAGGAAGATTGAATTACAGCAATATTGCTAATGACCAAGTTGCTATGTCGATTTATCTACTTAAATCACTTTCTGCATGTAGTCGCACAAAGAAAACATCAGTATAAAATAACAGTAGAGAGAGTTAGCTCAACAAACAAGGAAAAAACAAGCAGAAATTTGGACAAACAACAAATCCACCTTCTCTGAACATTCAAAAAGTTATCCAGTAGTAATCTTGGGTCTTGTTTTCTTTTGAAAGCAATGAATTTATGTTAGTTTCAGTGAGTTAGAAAAGGGAATTAGAAGCCCCAGGAGAGTTGTACTAAATAAAATAACCCAAGTTTCTAAGTTGCAATCTCATCTATACAGATTTTTTACAAGCTTGGTGTCGGACAGCTTCATTTGCTTCACTGCTATCTGTTGCTTCACTTGCTTTGTTTATCTTACTATTTTCCGTTATTTTCTTTTCAATCCTGCTTTGGATACATATTTTTCGAGCTGAGGGTCTATAAAAAATAACCTTTCTACCCCACTACCCTACTAAGGTACTAGTAAGATCTATGCCCATCCTACCCTCCCCATTCCCCAAGCCCCACTTGTGAAATTAAACTATATCAGAGCCAACTTGCATATACCTTGACTAACTGAAATTTGAACCTAAGACCTCGTGATTCTTAACCCACTAGACCACACCTTGAGGGCTAGTATAGTTTAAAATTAGAAAACCAAATACTACAACTAATCAAAATCTTGTGCACGTAATAATAATTATGTATACAGCTTGCATCTGTACAGAAGGCAATAATTACGAGGGAATTAACAGATTTGTATACACAGCAAACATTACAAGGGGAACAGATTCTTCTACAGTTCGATTGAAAAAAACACTACTATGAAAATTAAATCTGAACAGAAAAAGACAAAAAAAAAAAAAGAGCATTAAGATGAAAGATGTTAAAGTGATGAGTGCAACTTACGTACCTGAATTTCAGCAAACTGACAATAATGGTGATACAGTGTTGCGTTGCAATGGCGGTGGAAGAACAAGTTAAAGAGTTTGTTGCAACAGAAATGATATTGTTCCAAGTTTTTTTTTTTTTATTGTTGATGATTAAATTGTTAGTCAGCACTTTATCTTTACGGCACGAATCCGAATTTAGTCAAAGTACAGCCCAAATTTGAATTTAATCGAACTTAATATGAATATCGAACATTGTCCGGCTCCAATGTAGATACGGAACACTGCACGGGTCCACTTCTTGTGGCATACTTTTTCTCTTTCTTTTTCTATTTTGTTACTTTATAGACTCTGTCTTCTCTCCCAAATCTCATCTCACATACCATTATCTACCGGTCAATCCTGCCAACCGTTTACTTGGTCTTCTCTTCCAGCCAACGGCCAGTCAACGCTGTATTTTCCAATTCCAATTTTGTCACCAAACCCATAAAGCACAAACATACATAACTTCAATTTTCCTTCAATTAATCTCTACTAAAAATGGAGAATTCAAGTCAAGAATCGCATCTCCGATCTGAAAATTCCGTTACATATGACTCCTTTTACCCGATCTACGCTATGGCTTTTTCATCATTCACTTCTTCCCTCACAAACCGCCGCCGTCGACTTGCCGTCGGAAGCTTTATCGAAGAGTTCAACAATCGTGTTGATATTCTCTCTTTCGATGAAGATACCC